TTTTTTTATCTTCTTTCCTTTTTTCTTCATTTTATTCGTTCTCTCATCTCCCTTTTCTTTGGTCTTCCTTGTTTACTCCTCTTGTTTCGCCTTTTCTCTTATCCACTGCTTCATCAGCTTTCTATTTTCTTTTCTTTTTATTCCTTATTCTCATCATCTTTTGCTTCCTGCTTCGCCCTTCCTTTCCTTCTTTATTTCTCAGCCTTTTTTATGTCTTTCTTCATTATCATTCGATTTTTATTCTTGTCTTTTTTCTTCTTTGTCTTTTTCCTTCTTACGTTACCTGTCTCTTTCTTCCACGTTAACTTTCTTCTTTCTGTCCTTTCCTGTCTTTATCAAATCCTTGCTTCTTCTCTCTCGTTCACTCTTCCTTTTTGGCTTCTTCCTTCCCTCCAAGTCTCTTCTTTAGTTTCCCTTCCTATGTCTCTTTCTTATTTTTTTCCATTCTATTCTCCATTATTCATACATCTCTTCCTCTTTCTCTTCTTCTTCTTTTCCTTCTTCATCACGCCCATCTCCCTTATCGCATACACACACAATACACACGAGAACACAACAAAGCACGAAAAACGCCCCCTCCCGCCCCGCCCCCGCCCACACGCCCGCCCGCACGCCCATCCCCTGGCAGTAGGTTCCCCTACGCCCCGCCCCTAATTCTAGACATTGAGACAACGCAGTTTCTTCGGAGGGACTTTGGCCACGTACTGGAACGTGTCCCGCCTCTCCTCCGCGGCCTGGGGGACGTCGTGGTGGTGGAGATGATGGAGAAACCCTCCTCCTCCTCCTCCTCCAGGAGCCGCTCTGTTGACGCCTCCTCCTCCTCCTCCGCCGTCTCCGCCTCCAGCCGCCGCCGCCGCCGCCACCTGCTGCTGCTGCGGGAGGGGCTGCTGGGGATCTCGAGGCCCGTCCCCCATCAAGGACTTAAGGCACAGGTTGTTCTCCTTGACCCTGAGCCGCACCAGGGCCTCGAGGGTGGCCAGGTGCTCGTCGTAGCCCTCGGGGACCTTCTCGCGCATGAAGTCGGCCAGGCGGAGGAGGTACTCCACGTTGTGGCCTGGAGGGAGAGAGGGAGGGTGGGGCAGTCAGTGGGGACGGAGAGAGGGGGAGGGGGAGGGAGAGAGTGAGGAAGAGAGAGGGGAGAGGAAGGGGTCAGTGGGGACGGAGAGAGGGGGAGGGAGGGAGAGAGGGAGGGTCAGTGGGGCACGGAGAGAGGGAGGAGGGGGGAAGAGAGAGGGAGGGGTCAGTGGGGGGACGAGAGAGGAGGGAGAGGGAGAGAGGAGGGGTCGTGAGGGACGGAAGAGGGGGAGGGAGGGGAGAGAGAAGGAGAGGGGAGGAAAGGGGAAGAGAGGGATAGGGGAGGAAGAGAGGAGAGAGAGAGGGAGAGAAGAGAGGAGAGAGAGAGAGGAGAGAGAGAGAGAGAGAGAGAGGAGAGAAGGAGAGAGAGAGTAGAGAGAGAGAGGAGAGGAGAGAGGGAAGGGAGAGAGAGAAGAGAGAAGAGAGAGAGAGAGAGAGAGAAGAGAGAGAGAGATGAGAGAGAGAGGAGAGAGAGAGAGAGAGAGAGAGAGAGAGAGAGAGAGAGAGAGAGAGAGGGAGAGATTGAGGAGAGAGAGAGAGAGAGTAGTAGAGAGAGAGGGGAGAGGAGAGAGGAGAGAGAGAGAGGATGAGAGAGAGAGAGAGAGAGAGAGAGAGACGAGAGAGAGAGGAGAGAGAGAGAAGAGAGAGAGAAGGAGAGAGAGGAGAGAGAGATGGAGAGAGATGAGAGGTAGAAAAAGAGAGAGAGAGGAGAATAGGAGAGCAGAGAGAGAGGAGAGAGAGGAAGAGATGGAGAGACAGAGAGAGAGGAGAGAGAAAGAGAGCAGAGAGAGAGAGAGAGAGGAAGAAGAAGAGAGAGAGAGAGATGAAGCAGAAAGAGAGAGAGAGAGAGAAGGAAGAGAGAGAAAGAAAGAGAAAGAGAAGAGAAAGAGAAAGAGAAAGAGAAAAGAGAGCAAGCAAAAGGAAGTTGTTGTCGGATAAGTGGAAAGAGAGAAAGAGGAGATAAAAAAGGAGGAGGAGGAGAGGGAGCCTCAAAAGAAAATCGATTCATATTTCAGCTTAAATTAGCAACACTAACTTTTCTGCCAAAACAAAGCTGCACACAAACAACATTTTAAACATAAATTAGAAAAAAAAACTACAAAGCAGTTTTTAAAAATACAATTTTCTTTTCTAATCTACAAAATAGGCAAAGAGAATAATACAAACCTATTAAACTAAAATAAAACTAAATACGGAAACAAAAATAGAATAATAACACTATAATCATGATAAAAAAATAATAATAATAACAATAGTAATACTAATATAATACTACTACTACTAGTAGTAAAATAATAATAATAATAAATAATACATAACAATAACAAATAATAATAATAATAATAATAATAATAATAATAATAATATAATAATAATAATAATAAATAACACAACAAACAAAAACAAGCAAAGCCACCCACCCGCGGGCCGGAGCACTGCGTGATCTGTGTGGCGATCTCGTGCATGGGCGCCTGCCCCGCCCACTCTCGGTTGGCGGGCGTGGCGATGTACAGGAGCACCGGGAAGGGCTCCAGACCGGCCTCCCTCGGGAAGAAGCTCACGACGGCGGTGGTGTAGCCTCCCAGGGACACCTCCCGGTTCTCCAGGTAGCGAAGGGCGTCCTCCCCCTTCAGCTCGTACGCCACGCCCCAGGTGATGCCCTTGGGGGAGAGAGGGGGAGAGAGGGGGTTAGAGGGGGGTGTTTTAAGAGGGGGGAGAGGAGGGGGAGAGGGGGAGGGGGGAAGGGAGAGGGAGGGTTAGAGGAGTGTTTTAAAGAGGGAGGAGGGAGGGAGAGAGGGGTAGATGGGGTTTTAAGGGGGGGAGGAGAGGGGGAGGGGGTTGTTAGTGGGGGGTTGTAAGGGGGGGGAGAGTACAATAGCAATAACAATGATGATGATAATATTAACAATTATAACAGTATTACCTATAACATGTAATTAACACTTAAGAATGGGAAAAAAAGAAACAGATAATAACGATAATTCGATTAAATATTATAAAGAAGAAGAATACAGAGAAAAAAAAAGAACACGACGAAAGAAACAACAAACAAGAACAAATACAGAAAGAAGACAAGCCAAGAGGAGAAATATGGAAGAAAGGGAGGGGAGGAGGTGGAATATGGAAGGAGGGAAGGGGAAGGGAGGAGAAAGGGAGAAGAGAACATGGAAAAGGGAAGGGAGGAGGAGGAATATGGAAGGAGGGGAAGGGAGAGGAGAGGAGAGGGAGGGGAGTGGAATGGAGGGAAGGGAATGGGAAGGGAGGAGGGAGGAGGAAGAGAACATGGAAGAAAGAGAAGGGAGGAGGAGGAAATATGGAAGGAGGGAGGAGGGGAGGGGAGGAGAGGGGAGGGGAGTGGAATGGAGGGAAGGGAATGGGAAGGGAGGAGGGAGGGAGGAAGAGAACATGGAAGAAAGAGAAGGGGGAGAAGAAATATGGAGGGAAGGGAGGGAGGAGGAAGATGGGGGGGGGGGGAGACAACTGACACCTAGGGTTAGGAGAAGGAATCCTTATGACTGTTCGCTTCCTTCCTTCCTGTGATGGTGATGATGATGGTGAGTGTGGCCGCGGCGTCGCTGGTGTCGTTATTGCTGGTGTTATTGTTATCATTATCATTATTGTCATCAATTATCACCATTATCATTTATTATCATTTACATTATCATCATCATTATTGTTATTGTATTATCATTATTATTATCGTTATCGTTATCATTACCATTATCATTATTGTTATCATTATTATCATCGTTATCGTTATCATGATCATTATTGTTATCATCATTATTATTATTGTCATCATTATCATTATTACTATCATTATCTTATTATTATTGTTATCATTATCATTATTGTTATCATTATTATTATCGTTATCGTTATCATTATCATTATTGTTATCATTATCATTAAAATTCTTATCGTCATTAACATTATCATCATCAATATTGCTATTGTTATCATTACCATCTTTAAGATTATCATCATCATTATTACTGTCTATTATTGCTGTTATTATTATTATCAACATTATCATCATTGTTATTGTTATCGTTTTTATCAGTATCATTATTACTGTTGCTGTTGTTAATATCATTATCATCATGATCATCGTTACTACTACAACCTATTAACGTTACTATAACTGATTTTATTCCTGTTGTTGTTATTTTTCTATTAACATTATCATCACTATCGGAATTATTGTATC